GATCAGAATTAAAAGGTGGATACAAAACTGTTTTTACATGTTTTATTAAGCAATTTTAAAAATAAATTTCAACATTTCTGTTATTAGTAGCAATTCATAAAACAACAAAAGTCATGGATATTACTACTAATAACAGAAACGTTGAAATTTATTTTTAAAATTGCTTAATAAAAACATGTAAAAACAGTTTTGTATCCACCTTTTAATTCTGAACAACTTTAAACTCAACAGTTTTTTCTGTAAAATGTACAGGAGGGCAGGATATTGCATAAAACTAATTTCCCATGTTAAATCCCTATGTTCCTACTTACCGTGCAGCGTGCACCACCCAGTATATGACTTGTATATGTAATGTATTCACATTAGTATAATACTAGACGTCAACATTAACGTACCTGTTTACTAAGTTTATATTTACTTTAATTAAAGGTGTACTTAATTTACATGCCTTATTATTTAATGTGGTCAGAAACCACCACTTGGTGACAGCGGTAAAAGGTGTACATCTGTGAAGTGTTGTAAGAAGATAAGGTGGTACGTGATAATGGACAAAAGCATTAGGTGTGCATGATAAATGCGTGCCGAATAAATTCGATTATAAAGAAAAATACGCGATTTTATTACTTCAATCAGGACATCTGATGTTTAATAATAAATTAATTATTGGCGAAGTACGTAAGAATGGCGGAACAATGTCGTGCTCCGGAACCATTTTCGTTTACTGGTGATTTACCTGCAAATTGGAAATTGTGGAAACAGAAATTTCAATTTTATCTATTAGCAAGTGGAAAGAGTGATAAAAAAGACGATGTAAAAATCGCGATTCTACTTAACTTGTTGGGTGATGAAGGAAGTAATGTGTACAATACGTTTGAGTACACAGAGGAGGAAGATAGCAGAAAACTTAATAATAATAATAATAATAATAATAATGTTTATTGAGCATACATACAAACAAAACAATAAAATAATAATGTTGTAAATAAAATAATAATGTTGTACATGTACAGCTCAAAAGGTAATGAATTCGGCCTAAAGCCGTTTTTCAATTCATCCTGTAAGACACAAAATGATAAAAAAAAAACAGTCGTCTTGCTAAATTAATTACAATTCTCTAAGAAAAAGCTCTTAGTAGATCTAACAAACTGAGGATAGTTCATGTGCAATGCATCTAACCTTAAATTTAACAACGATGGTGCAACATATGTGAAGCAACCCTGGAATTTTGCAGTTTTATGTCTAGGTATTGTAAAAGAATTAGTTCTTAAATTTACACAATGAGCAGCCGATCTTCTTATCAACAGGTGATATAAATATGACGGTATTCTAAATTGTAAAATTTTATAAAGCATTATCATATATAGATATTTGACACGATCCTTGATTTTTAACTCATTAAGTCTGTGATAATACGGCGTGACGTGCTCTCTAAGGGGAATATTGCAAATGTATCTCATGCACGCATTTTGAGTTTTTTGCAGCCTTGCTTGGTCACGTTTTGTGAGAAAAAAATAATACACCATACAACAATAATCAAAATGGGGTAAAATAAGAGATTTGACTAGCTTACGCTTGCTGGACTCATTTAGCAGAGATTTAAGGTGATAGATTGACTTTAGTCTTGCCACTTGCCACAATAATTAACAAATTTGAAAATTATTGTAATCCAAGAAAAAATCTTGTGTACGAGCACTTCAAGTTTTTTAAAAGGGAGCAACTTGTAGGCGAGTCAATTGATCAGTTCATTACCGCGCTGAGACAATTAGCGAGTTCTTGTGAGTTTGTGGAAAAAGATACTTTAATACGTGACAGCATCGTGTTAGGGAATTCAAGAAAGACTCCTACAAGATCCCAACCTAGAATTGAGTGACGCGATAAATACTTGCCGATCGATGGAGAGTAGTGTTCTTACTCAAAAAGAGATTCACAAAGAACATGTGACAGTGAGTGCGCTTAAGCAACGGTTTAAAAACAGTAGTGGACCACAAAGTGATTACAGACAAGTGCGTGAATCGAGCGACCACTCAACGGGAGGTTTCGGCCAAGTAGCGGGATACTCAGGTGGTGCTGGAGGTCGACAAAAAGGTAACCATCCGTGCTCTAATTGCGGGCGGCAACACAAATTTGGTAAGTTTCTCGCATTTAATAGAGTGTGCAGTTTTTGTAAGCAAACTGGACACTACCGTAATTTTTGTAAGAAAAAGTCAAATATTCATGAACTAATTGAACAGTTTGGTGATCTCGAGTTGGACGAAGATGAAGATTTTGCTACCGAGCAAAATGCAGACTCTAACCTAATCGTGTGGACAATCACAAATTCGGACATTAGTGCAATTGACTGGGTAAAAGTGTTGAACGTTTCGGGAGTAAATATTGAGTTTAAAATCGATACGGGAAGTCAAGTCAATACACTAAATATTTTCGATTTCAAATCCTTAAATATACCAATTAAAAAACTAACGAATGCATCTTCAGTTTTAGTATCGTATTCGGGTCACAAAATTAATGTGATGGGACAAGTTTATCTAAAATGTATGTACAATGACCAAAGTCATATTTTGTTGTTCTACGTGATTGACGATCCCAAAATATCCTCAATTTTGGGATTAAATGCAGTGCGAGAATTAATCATTATACCAAAAACAATTGCTCGTATAAATAAGACACTTAGTCTGGATGCGGTTAGTAAAAAGCTACCAGACATTTTAAGTTTGTATAACTCAGTTTTTGTGGGCATTGGTAAAATAAACAAACAATCTTGTGTGATAGCGCAGTGCCTTGTGTAAGTGCACCGCGAAAAATTCCTATCGCTCTTAGAGATAAAGTGAAAGCAAAGCTGGACCAAATGGTTCGCGAACAATTAATAATTCCCATAACTGAACCTACCGATTGGGTTCACCCTATAGTGGTTGTGCAAAAACCAGACAAAAACGACATTAGAATTTGCATGGACCCTCGTGCGTTAAATAAATACATTAAACGTGAAATTTTTCAAATACCCACCGCGGACGTTTTATTTTCGCAACTCGGGGGTGCTAAATATTTTAGTATACTTGATGCTTCGTCTGCATTTTTGCAGATACCCTTAACGCATAACAGTTCATTGTCATGTACAATAGCTACCTGCTTTGGCAGATATCGATACTTACGTCTTCCATATGGTATTTCATGCGCACCGGAAATTTTTCAAAGATTCATTTTTGAAATACTGGAGGGAATTCAAGGCGTGTCATCCTACTTCGATGACATTCTCGTTTTCGGAAAAACAGTAGAAGAACATAACGAAAATCTAAATAGTGTTCTTATAGTTATTAAGGTATCAAGGGCGTTATGAACTAAATAACGCCCCAGGTCAACAGTGTAGAACCCGAGGGCCTTCGGCCCGAGGGTTATACGTTGACCGTGGGCGTTGTGTTCATAACGCCCGTGGTGCCTTCAACGTTTTATGTCATACTTGATGATTTTCCAAGAATTGGCGGTGCCAGATGATTAAAAGAGAAGATAATGAGAATCATCAAAATTAAGTTATCCATGGTCGTAACCGAGGCCGTAACTATGGAGATAGATATTATATTTGTCAAAGTCAAACATTCTAAAAACTGTCTGAAAAATGGCAGACGAAGCGTCTCATTTACCGGTACACGTTCTTGCGCGAGCCGCAAAAGCGAATGAAGCCATAGTGCCACAAAAATCGAAATCCTCTTATGAAAAAGAGTACGCTATTTTTGCAAAATGGATGGTGAGTAATTCTGTGGAGACAATAAACGAAACCGTTATATTGGGTTACTTCCAAGAGTCGGTATGTTTAAGTAATTTTATTAGTCATTAAACGGAAAGGTGATTTACACTCAGAGTCATTTTCTCCCAATTCGCTTTGGACGAAATTTTCAATGCTATACGTAAAGAGTTAATGGTAAAGAAGAAGATTAAGAGTTTCGAAAAATTTGTGCATCTACAAAGGGTATTTAAAACAAGTTCAGGAAAGCTATCGTCCAAAAAAATCAAAAATCCTTACTTGCGAACAGATAGTCGCCTTCCTTACAGAAGCACCTGATCCGCAGTATCTGATCTACAAAGAAGAAAGAAAATGTATGGGTCTGCGCCAAGCTGGTGCGGTGTTCTCTGGACAGTCCCAGAATTGTTCTTTTTTACTTCAAAATAACAGTAGGATAATGCAGTTCGTTTTATTCAGTTGTTGAAAATAAAAAGTGTGTACAGATTCATTATTCCATATTTATAGGATTTACAGAAATAACGCCCTTGGGCGTTATAGAAATAACGCCCGTTGCTACGCATAATTGGGGTTGTCATGGTGGAGTGCATTATTTGTCATTTAATGTATCTTGATTTAGGATTATTATAACTGAATAATAATCAAGTATGACATAAAAAGAATTAAAGATAGCGGTCTTACCCTAAATCGTGAAAAATCAAAATTCTGTGTTAAGGAATTAACATTTTTGGGTCATACGATCAGTGAACGTGGCATATCACCTCACCAAAACAAAACGCGTGCTATATGTGAAGTGAAATCACCCAAAAATAAAAAAGAATTACAGAGGTTCCTTGGTATGATTGTCTACCTTTCTAAGTTTATTCCAAATTTGTCGAGCGAAACCAATACTCTCACAAATCTTCTAAGTGAAAAAACAGAATGACAATGGACTTCGGTTGAGGAAGCAACATTTAATAGACTCAAACAATTAGTTTCCTCAGCTACAACTTTGACTTTCTTTGATCCGAAAAAGGAGATCAAATTATCAGTAGATGCTAGCCCATATGGACTAGGGGCAGTTATCACTCAAGATAATCGGCCTATAGAATTTGCAAGCGTGTCATTAACTCAGACTCAGCAACGATACAATCATATAGAAAAGGAGTTACTGGGACTCGTATTTGGTTGTGAGCGTTTTAATTACTATTTGTGCGGGCAAATTAATTTTATAATCGAAAGTGACCATCGTCCACTTATTGGACTATTAAAAAAACCTCTAGATGAAATGTCGCCGCGAATCCAGAGACTTGCGATAAGACTTCTTCGATATCAGTTCACACTTTCGTTCGTTCCGGGAAAGTGCCTTCAGGTACCAGATGCGCTTAGTCGTGACCCCACAGACGACATTATTAATACCGAATACTTGGATTCTAAGTTCAAATTGTTTTCTGTTATAGCAGTTAAACCTGAAACAGAAAACAAAATAAAGGAGGCTGTTCATGCCGACCCTATATTAATTGAAATTAAAAATTATGTATTGCACGGATGGCCCAAACATCAAATACAAGTTTCTGACGGTGTGAAGCAGTATTGGCCTGTGCGAAATGATACACATCTCCACGAAAACCTACTTTTTTACCAAAAGCGGCTAATTTTACCTGCAAGTCTTAGAAATGAGTTTCTAAATTTAATCCATAAATACCATCAAGGTGTGAATGCTTGCAATAAATTGGACCAGGATGCCATCTATTATCCAGGATGGTCATCAGACATCGAAAAGATGGTTCTCGGTTGTCAGTTGTGTCAATCGTATGCCAAATCAAATGCGAGAGAACCACTTTCTCCACATGACGTACCTGACCGACCTTGGCAAAAAATTGCCATTGACTTTAAAGCACTAGGCCCCCAAGATTTCCTAGTTGTAGTAGACTATTTTAGCAAGTTTGCTGTGGTTAACAAATTGCCCAACAAAACAGGTAACACTGTTATCTCATGCTTGAAGAATATTTTTGCAATTAATGGATTGCCTGAAGAAGTATTTTCCTACAATGGACCTCCGTTCAATTCATGGGACTTTATAGAATTTGCAAATAGGTATGATATCAAGTTAACTACGTCTAGTCCTCGATATCCCAGATCTAATGGAATGGTTGAGAGAACAGTGCAGACTGTAAAAAGTCTTTTAACAAAGTGTCTTCTAGAAAAAGAAGATCCATTCGCCGCTATATTAAATTATAATGTTACTGCCAAACAAAACTTACCTTCTCCTAGTGAGCTGCTGATGGGAAGAAGATTAAGGACAGCTTTACCCGTTAGTTGTAAACTTCTCGAGCCTAAGTTCCCAATTCGAGGTATTAAGGACCAGCTAAAACTTCTACAAGAAAGGCAAAAGGCGTACTATGACGTTTCAAAGAAAAAGCTGAGCGAGTTGGAGCCACAAGAAGACGTATATGTTCAAGAAGGTATACGTAATTGGAAACCTGGCGTTGTAATGAAGAAATCAGGCCCTAACGACTACATAGTTCGCATAGGTGAAGCGGATTACCGGCGGAATAGGCAACAGATCAATCCCAGACGGATGAGCGAAGAAACTCTGAAGTGCGATCCTGAAGTGAAAGTGGGCACTACTTCCAGTGAGACAAACCCGGTGGGCACTACTTCCAGTGAGACAAACCCGATTGTGACGAGTGACTACTATACCAGAAGTGGCAGACATGTTAAAATACCAGACCGTTTAAATTTGTAATATTTAAGTATACCAATGAAATGTTATTTTTTTTTAAATTTTGTTTAAGAAGGGGCGTGTAATGTATTCACATTAGTATAATACTAGACGTCAACATTAACGTACCTGTTTACTAAGTTTATATTTACTTTAATTAAAGGTGTACTTAATTTACATGCCTTATTATTTAATGTGGTCAGAAACCACCACTGATGTATATAGAATGATAAAATCTAAAACTGAAATAATATATAGGGTGTTCCATTTAAAATAAGCAAGTTTGTATCAACTTCTGGTATAATCGGACGTGCCACGACGTTGTCAAGAAATTGACAAAAAAATTGACGTTGCAGTAACTAATAAATTTGATGGACGTAATTTTCCTCAGTAGAAATTTCAAATGAAATATGCGCTTTGGGCAAAGCCTTGCCATGAGGTAATTGATTTTGCTTGAAAGGAAAAAACATTAAACGTAACGTGGTTACTTTTATTACTTAAGTAACAGTGCTGAAAGTTATGTCATTTTGTAGTTTGCTCATAAAACTAGAAATGTAAAATGCACTTTCAGGCAACAACGTACGGTAAAGTGTACTAATTTCACATTTGATTTATGGGCGTTCCTGATTTCTCTTGCAATCGTCAGTTTTATCTTTATACACTACCGATTTCCGCATTTAAATTGTATCCGCAAAAAAAGTCAGACCATTCGCAGCTGATGATCATTGCATTAATAATCATTCATCCTACCTAAACGCAAGCAGGAAATTTGGGATTGAAGCATAAAGCACGGAATTTTAAATGTCAAACACGGCTCTGTGTCACAAGTGCAAATAAATTATGTGACAGCTGGGAAGCCGAAAAGTCTTGTAAAGACTTTACCGCTCATGGTTAAACAGATAATTGTTTTCTAAACCGGAAAATTCCACAAATTCTTCATTTAATATGATTTTGAGCGTTTATTTAGTGTTATGATGCCCAATAAGTGTCAAAGCAAACAGGTGCTGCGTCAATTATTCATTTCACTACATAAATTTGAAAACTAAACGAACATGATCAATCTTTCCGTTGAGTTTGTATGTACACAAAACGCAGGATATTAAATCATTCTGCTTAAACGGATTCCCGAAATGTATACGTAACGCCTTTGTCCAAATTTTTTATGTTTATCTTTTAGCGTTAATCGCCTTATTTATTTCATTCGGCGCGCTAAATTTCGAAAATCCTCCGAGAACCAGATTAAATGATGAATGGAGAGACCAGCTCAACGCCTTTGTGTGCCAACATGTCTTGAACCACGCATCTAACGCACGGAGAACTGAAATGAATTCGTGGTGACAAATAAACGGAAGCTGTTTTTAGAAATCTTTTATTTTCTTAAAAGTTCATTTATTACATACTTGGATGTCTAAATTTAGTCGGCCAATAATTATTTAAGGAGATTTACATTAAATAATTAATATAAAATTGTTGATCATAATTAGATAGTTGTCGCTTATTTCGTACACCTATTCTAGCGGATGCCGTGGTATGAATTTCGTCCGTCCGTCCGCCCATCTGAGAATTGAGGATATCTGCATTCAACCTCTTGGAAAACTGCCAACCAAATAAACGTCAAAAAAACTCGATGCACGTGTTCCACAAAAAAAAACTACTCCCAAACAAAGGCTTGGCCAACATAATGCGTCGTTTAACGTCCAGTTCGGTTATTAAAAACCTTTTCCCTGGCCACTTACTTCCCCCTTCCTTTACAAAATAATGCGCATCTTCGAAAGATCAAACTGCACCTGTGTTCAATACGGCGAAAACACATCCTTTTGACATTTAATTAGCGTACGTAGCAATAACAGATCTTATCGTAGACCGGAGATAAACTTTATAGTACCCACGTAATTTCTAGATGTACCTTATCTTTCTAACACAAAATGGACCCACTAAATTGGAGGTTTTCTTTATTGAAATCTGAACGAACCAAATTTAAATGAAAAAACTGATGGCTTCAAATTTCCCCGAAGATTGATATCTTTAAGAAATCACCAATTCAGATTTTCCTTAATAATATTGTTAAAATGGCAAATTTTACACCTTCCATTTTTAGTAATGTTTATTCAACTGCGAAGGGATATACCCTTTTTATGGTTACGAATTTCACTAACAAAGTTCAATCTCATTTTGTTCATTAACGACGTTAAGTTACTTAATGCGGATTTTTTTCTACTAGGTCATTGTAACGGAAAAGAAATATTCTGGCACAATTCACTTGTCCTTTGTGGAAACAAGGTTGTTGTATATGTTTTACTGTGACGTGCATATTTCACAGTGGTCCTTATTTCGTGTGATTAGGTAATGTAATTTTTCTAAAATTTCCTGAACTTCCCCAAATCGCAATACAGATTGTCTACGATAAAAAGCTTTTGTGTAATATTACCACCCTGTATATTCGTTTAAGTATAGTTTGGCTAAATACATGTAACCTTGTTTAAATTTCCAGTTATCATAGGGGTTTCGAAATATTCTTTCAAGTATTAGTTTTTCACTCGAGGTTGGTTATTGCAGTGTTCGCCAATATAAACGATGGGATGTCCCACAGGGTATTTTTCATATTTGTTAATATACGGCTACACAGAACTAAAATCTATATTTTATTTGCTCATGTTGAAAAAACGCTTCGTCCCTCATGAAACGCATCTCTGAGGCTTAGTGGTGAATATGACAGTAGGGGGTGCGTTTTAGTATAGTGTAACATTTCCTGAGTTTTTTATTTCTTAATAAGGGTGTTTTTTTTGCGACGAAAACCTTTCCCCATTTAACCTAGTTAGTATCTCGTATAGTTTCCGAAATCCTCATATAATTCATCAAAAAACTCACCCTGTATAAATACCGGCAGCATAGTGAAACGTTTTGTCTACTTCTGCAAGAAGTTTACGGATAAAGGTCAACTTGGATCAAATTTGAACCTCAGGCAAATTTGTCTGTTTCGATTGTCAAGTGCGACGGGTGTTACTCGATCTCAGCTCTAGGAAGTCGGCTATGCCTCTTCATTTATTTACCAATTTCGTTAGTCACTTTTTGGGCACTATGCCAGGACCTTGTAACGGATGTTAGAATTCACTTTTTCTCCATCCTACCTCTGGTTAATATTTATATCACTTAATTACTCGGTACGTGAACACCCGGTATCTAGAGTTGTGTTTCAGCCGCCGTCGCCGTAAAGAAAAGCTGTAATTAATTGGCCGCACGCAACCGTTCCCGGACAAGATATTTCAATTATCTTTGTTGAGTTCAAAAGTTCGTATCATTCAGAAGACGAGGCAATTTAATATTTTAGAATTTCAGTCCAGTTAAGTAATTATTAGATCATTTTGGTTTCCGATGTTAATTTAAAACGAGCAAGGCCATGTAGGTTTACGCCGATATCAGTTTGATAAAGAGACCTTTTTCCTGACCTGAGAAATTGCAAGAGACGATGGGGATTAATTAGAGGTATGAATTTAGAAATTTCATCTCGCACATTTAAGTGAGTATAATTAACAATAGGTACCTAAGTAAATGAGGTGCAGTAAACCGTATCCGATTACGTCCCGAGTCATTAGAAGCGCTCTTAATTAATTGAGATTTTGGAATATTCCCGATTTTTTATGATGACCATAAGCCGAAAAATTAATTAAAGAATGTTAATTTTTAGACGTTCTTATCCGACTACACTGGGCTGGGTAGAAAAACCAGCGTTCCCTCCATGGCATGGCCGAGTTGTACTAAAATGTAACGCCGTTGTTTAGTGGGAACCTTTTTACCTTTGCTAGTTACATTTTTAAGTGCCGTATTAATTTTTGATACTTTCCGTAAATTTATTTTGCATTCATACCGTTTAATTTTTGCTACTTACTGTTCCATTAAATATAGGGGGGATATTATTTCGCTTTCCTGCATTTGATTTCCCGTAGGCGTCGCTAATTAATTTGTGTTTTGTTTGATTTCAGAACCCGCTAGGGAACTTGCCGTATGGGCCGTGCGCCGGAAATCGGAAATATGTCATTAGTGACAATTGTGTCTCGATTACTGTTATAAATTGGCGATGCTCGTTCAGTCGGTGACTACAATTACAATTCTTTGTTATTGACGTCTATTAGTACGCACTATGACCGTTTTTGGACTATTCGGAATTAATGGCGAACGCACATCACATCACATAAGCAATGTATTTAAATAAAATTGGAAACAATGTCACAAATACAAGCACCATCCGTCGTTGCGACCTTTAAGTCTTGCCCACTTTATTACTATTATTTGGCGCTATTTGGAAAATCTCTTATCTCACGCACAAATTACTAAGTCACGAAGTCACAAAGAGGTATATAATTTAACGTAAGTCTGTTCTCTGCATAAATAATTGCATAATAATTATACTTATTAAGACTAAATCATACTAATAAGATAGAAGAGAACATCTACTCGTACCCGCTTCAATATTGTGGCCATTTTTTATGTTGGCATCTTGAGCATTGTTTAAATACAAGCACGAATGTCGGTTCAAATAGATGATAAATCAGTATGTGTGTACATATTCTTTTATTACTTTCATAATCAAAAATTAAATATGATACCAAAGAAGTTAAAAAAGTCTACGCACATGCACGGACGACAATAACCTATTGTGGTTGCTAACATTATCAACGATAATCTAATATATCCTTCAAAAAAAAGTGGAGATAAGTTAGCGGCTTGCTTCCAAACAATTAACTGAGCACAACGAAAAACGGTCAATTACTAAAGACACCATTAACTAATTAGTGGGATTAGACCCATAGAATCAATGACACTTCCGCTTCACATGCTTGTTGAAAGTCTCTTCTGGAAAAGAATGGAAATTTTTAACAATTTGGGACGTGCGCGCTCCGACACGAAAAGAATCCGGAAGATGGCGTTAGTTAAACTCTAATTATGTTCGCTTAGATGTTACGGGGGTTCTCCGACAAGTAATCATAGCGTGAATAATAATAATGCCACGCAATGGAGAAAATGAA